CCGTCCTCGTCGAAGCCCCCCGGCCATGTGAGAGTGGGGTCCTAGCGAGGACCCCACAATCACATGGCCGGGGATAGCTGGCTTCTGTATTGCCGGCAGGGGGGCTGCCTGTAATGACAGGTGGTCCCCCTGCTGGCTGAAAATAAAATAAAAATAAGTTAATGGTGTAAAAAAAAATAATTATATATACTTAGATCATATATATATATTATATATATATGATCTAAGTATATATATACACATATACATACACACACATACACCGTCTAGGTGTATTTTACTATTAATATATATATAATTATATATATATATTAATATCAAATTACACGTAGACTGATACTGATTAAATATATATATAATTATTGTTATATATATGAAATGGAAAAATCAATTAAAAGTATTGATTATTTCTTTGTGTATCTGCCCCTGGCCAAATCAATGAAACAATGCGTGCACGCTCCCTGAAGTAATTCACACCAGACACAGGTTCCAGGTTGTTGAATAACTTGAGGAATGTTTATTCAGAGGGGACGGCAGGTCCCTTTTAAAGCAAAATTACATCATAAGCATTGTCAGAGATAACATGGAATAATACATCAATTATTGGTTAGGTGTTAAGTGGTTGCTCTAATGTTCTGCCTACTGTAGGTGATGTCACCGGGACCATGAGGGTCTCCCACGGTTTCCCGGCGCCATCTTGGTGCACGAGGTAGTTAGTCGATGTTAGGAAGGAGAAAGGGAAGGGGGGGGGGAAAAGGAGCAAGAAGCTTCTAGCAGCCATCTTAATTATAACGTGTGTGCTTGACTATATATATATATATCGTGAAATGAGTAAATAGACATTTTTCACTAACTAGGAAATATGTGTAGACCTTATTTCCACAACAGTCCCCCCTAAAATGGCTATTTACCATAACAACTGCTACTGTCCCTAATATGTCCCTAGTTGCCTGCAACCTATCTGTCTTAACTAGCATCGAACTCTTCACTCCGCGGGTAACCCGCAGTGGCTAGTCCACTACATCTCCACACGTGAGACTCGCCAGTTAAGACAGATGCTTTCCCTATACTGTCCCTACAGGAAAGCAGTTGTCTGTTTGAACTGATGTGATTGAAGGGGTGTATGTGGGGTATCATCTTCGAGGTCTGTGATGTCTTGGTGTATGAAAGTAGGGGTCACGTCATCTATAGTCTTGTCCACCGCTTTCTGTAGATACCTCTGTATGCAGGGGAATATGCAACAGGTCAGAAATAAGAAAATAACGATCATTATGAGAACAGCTGTCCCCACCTGGAAGAGGGTCCTTTGCCAACCATTCATCCATCCAAACCATCTGTCCCAAGTGTCGATGACTCCTGAATTTTTCTTTAACTCGTCTGCAAGACTATCTAACTTCTCTATGGCCATAGTCACCTTACCATTGGGCCCAGTGTTGTCTGGAATGTATGTGCAGCATGTCATGGTCTCAGGGAGGATTTTACATACACCCCCTTTCTCAGCTAAAATCATATCTAGGGCCATTCTGTTCTGAAATGTCATTTGGGTAGTGGCTTGTAGTTGCTCTGCCAGGCCCTGTAGGGCATCCCTAGTGTAATTGACAAAACGCTGTTGATTATAGTAAATATAGTTAATCCAATTGACATTTTTGTTAACAGTTATCATTGGAATTAGGGACTCAAATCCCGCAGCCACTTCATCTCTTGCTTTGAATTCGTTAGGCACCCCCCTTGGCACACCTATGGCATCAATATACACATGGGGGTCGAAACTCCCTCGAATAGGAGTCTCTCGTTTGATTCTAGAGTGTGCATGTGTGAGGTTTAACGTGTTATGATCACCATCTGGAATGATATGGATAGGCATTATGACTTTGGTTAGGGCACACTCCCCCCACCATTGCCCAATTAATTGGGACCTCAATTGTTTATCCCCACATAACCAATAGATATCGCCGATTGTCTTTGTGTGGTTCATTAACAGTGATACAGGTGGATTATGGTAAGTTGAGCAATATCCTGATGGGAATTTGCCCAGATACAAACCGGTGTTCTTAGATATTGTATAACATGTGTAATTACCTGGGTAGATGGTGACTCCATCAGGTGGTTTTACATGTCCGTGAGTGATCGGGTAAATTCTCTTCCATGATTCACATGTCGAGGAATTGGTGACGGACTGTGTGTAAAGGCTCAGAACACATGATTCTACTTCAGGAGGTAAATTCAGAGGAACTGTGCCCAGATGGGGCCTGGCTCCCCCACACACGTAACAATTGGTCTTATTGTGTGAGTTGGCATTATACCTCATCCATTCTAGCCATAAATTAGTGTCTGAAAAACCAGTTTCCACTGCCATAGTGTCTTCAAAGGTGGGGTTGGCTATAGCTACCATGTCATGTAGGGTCTTAATATGTGGTTTTAACGGGTTAACGATCATGTGAGTGGTCCCCACCCAGTCGGGGGAGGTGAGCATGTCTTGCAGGTAGAATGTCCCCAGTGCATTGTGTGAGCCACCTCCCTTCCAGTACATCCCCATCACATATTCCCCCGCGTCCCTTGGACTAGGGTGTTCTATATTCAAGGTAAGTTTAATGGGAGTTGACCCTGTGGGTTTACTAAGAGTCATTCTAGAAAGTAGGGGCTTCCCGTCTTTGTCAAGTCTGTCTAGTGCAACCTGAGGTCTGTAGCCCCATGGTCTACCTGTATTCCACCCGGCAGCTTTCCATGAACTACAGTGGTGTCCCCAAGCTCCTCCAGTCACACAAATGTATGGGTCCTTTTTGTTAGGTATGTCCTTGTATATGGCTGCATGTTGTGTCTGTGGGAATGTACAAGTAACTATGTCACAGTAATCAAAGGTGTATGTAGCTACATCAGTATCAGAAGAATTGTACCAGAAAGTGTAAACATGATTATCTTTGGTTATGGCCACTTGTTGGGCCCAGGCAAAATGCAACAATATAAGAAAACACGAGACACATAATAAATTCATGTTTCAACAAGATCAGTTTCTTCTGGAGCAGGCACTTTTTTGCAATGTGAAGCGTGTATCCAGGAACTTTTTCCAGCTAGTTTAACTGACGTTGCTGTAATCAGGAGCACTTGATAAGGACCATCAAATCTCGGTTCTAGGGTGTGTTTCCTGAGGAACTTCTTAACCATAACCCAATCACCTGGAAGCAGCTTGTGTGTACCTGTATTCGACTCAGGATCTGGAATAGAAGAAAACACTTGGGCATGTATCTTGGTCAAGGCATGTGAAAGGGCAGTCACATAGTCTACCATAGCGTCTGACTGAATCTGAAGCTGTTGGGGAAAGTAGCAACCTAACCTGGGTGCTGTACCAAACAAAATCTCATAAGGTGACAGACTGTATTTTCCTCTGGGAGTGTACCTTACACTGAATAACGCTAGTGGAAGACTCTCGGGCCAGGGCATGTTAGTTTCTTGTGACATTTTAAGCATTCTGGCTTTCAAAGTGCCATTCATGCGCTCTACCTTACTACTACTCTGTGGGTGATATGGTGTGTGGAATGCAAGGGTCACCCCCAGTGCTGACCAGACTTCCCGTGTTAGCGAGGCAGTGAAGGAGGTCCCTTGGTCACTTTCAATTACTTCTGGAACTCCATAGCGGCAAACAATTTCTGTCAAAAGATATTTGGCTGTAGTCCTCGCGGTGAGATTAGTCACTGGGAAGGCCTCTGGCCATCCTGAAAACATGTCCACTATGACCAATGCATATTCATAACGTCCACTTTTTGGCATCTGAATGTGATCAATCTGAATCCTCTGGAAGGGATATTGTGGCTTGGCTAGGTGATTAGGTGCAGTCTTTATAATCTTTCCAGGATTGCATTTAGCACATATAGTACATGACTTACAGTAATTCTGTGTTAAGGTGGTGATGCCTGGTGCTTCGAAATATTTGTCAATCAGTGAATTCATCAGGAGTTTTGACAGGTGAGCTGGCCCATGGGCCCATTGGACCACCGCTGGGTACATACTTCTGGGTAGGCAGAACTTGAGATTAATGGTGTAAACATCATCACGGAGTATAGCTCCTTTGTTCTTCCAACCTTGTTTCTCTTGGGGAGTAGCAGCAGCTTGCTGTTCCTTCAGAAGCCTGAGGTCTGTAGGCAATGTTTGCATAGTATAGATAGGTAGTGTATCTGTGGCCACTCTTCTGTCCACTTCCCATCTTTGCCGTGCTGCTTCTTTAGCTGCTTGATCAGCCAGGTGATTGCCACGTGCTTCTTCTGTGTCTAGTCTTCCATGGGCCTTTACCTTCAGTACTGCCACCTCAGCTGGAAGTTCCAATGCGTCCATCAGCTCTGCAATGGCTGCCCCATGCTTTACTGGGGTACCAGTGGCCGTAAGAAATCCTCTGGTCTTCCAAATTAAGCCAAAATCATGCGCTACTCCCAAGGCATATCTTGAATCCGTGTAAATGTTGACACGCAACCCTTCAGACAATTTGCAAGCCACAGTTAGGGCTGTCAATTCAGCTTCTTGGGCAGACTTAGTTGGTTGTAGGGCAGCTGCTTGTAACACTTGACATTCTGTGGTAACTGCATACCCAGTGTGATATTGCCCTTGTTCATCAGCAAATCTTGACCCATCCACAAATAATGTTTGGTCCGGGTTGAGTAGTGCAGCTTCATAGACAGTTGGTAGATGTGTAGTTTCCATTTTCATTTGTTCAAAGCAATCATGAGGGATATCGTGGTCACAGTCTGTGGTGAGTGGATCCTCACAGGCTTCTGTATGGTACCTGGGGTACCCAGTTGTACAGTAATTAATAGTCTTTTTGTTGATTCTCGTAGAAGTCAGTTGTTCTGGGGTCATTTGACTCCAGGTTTTGGCCATCGGGCCTAGGTCTTTCCACGAGATGTCGGGGGTTCTGGTGAGAGATATGTGTGGGATCGATGTTTCCCAATGGTGATAGAGATGTGTCACACTCTCTGGGAGGTGGACCAGGATAAGCATGGTACCTGTGAGGTCCCAAAACAAGTCAGTCAGGGTAATTTGGATTTCTTTGAGTTGGAATACTTCTGCCTCGTAATTCATATCAGGGCCTGGTTCATCCCTAATCCACAAAGTGCAATGAAGTAGGGCCATTGATTGATCATCATGTGGAGGTGCAAGTGCAGGTAGTTGCAGATTTGTTAGAACTTCCGGGTTGATATCCAGGCTGTACCAGTGGTACACAATTCCCCCCTTGGGAAGTGGCAGAAGAGTGGCCGGGTTCAGGGTTAGGCATCTCTGAAGTTTTATGTTATCAGGTAAAAGCAATGAGGTTTGCAGGCGGAGGTGGCGTTGGGAGGAAAGGTGCTTGGGTTGAACTTGTTGCAGGATAGCAGTAATGTCATGGGGGGCCAACACGGTAAGGTGATGGCCAAGCACAAAGTCATTAGTCTTGTCCAGGAGGGCACTGGCGGCAAACACAGCACGGAGGCAAGAGGGGCTGCCCCTTGCAACAGGGTCAAGCATACAGGAAAAATAGCCAATGGGCCGTTGTCTGGACCCATGTTTCTGAGTAAGGACTCCGGAAGCATGTCCTGATTTTTCAGAGACAAACAAATTGAAAGAGAGTTGATAGTTGGGTAGGCCCAAGGCAGGAGCAGAGGCAATAGCTCTTTTCAGAGTATGGAAACAGTCAATAGTTTCTTCAGTGAGGTGAAAGGGCTCACTTCGAAGTGCATCATAGAGAGGTTGCATGAGTTTGGATGCTTCAGGTATCCAAGACCTGCAGTATGTTATGAGACCCAAGAAAGCATGAAGAGAGTGATGGGTTGCAGGTAATGGGAGTTGCAGGATAGCTTGCACCCGTTGTGAGGTTAGATGTTTGGTGCCATGGGAAAGGCAGTGTCCCAAGAAGACCACAGAGGGCCGGCACCATTGTAGCTTTGATTTTGAGGCCTTGCACCCGGCAGCAGCGAGGAAACATAAGAGATCTTCTGAGTCACGTTCTGCAATTAGCAAATTAGGAGCACAGAGTAGAAGGTCATCAACATATTGTAGTAAAACAACATCGAGATGTGATTTCTGCCAGGGATCCAGAACCAGAGACATGGCATGAGCAAACTGTGTTGGGGAGTTCTGCGCTCCCTGGGGCATAACAGTCCAAGTATATTGTTGTCCTTCATGTGTGAAGGCGAAGAGAAAACGGCAGGAGGGATCAAGGGGAACACTGAAAAAGGCATTAGCCAGATCCACAACAGTAAAAATTGTTGAAGTTGGTGGCACTTGGGACAAAAGGGTATGAGGGTTTGGAACAATAGCAGTGTCCTTTATGGTTACCTCGTTAACAGCACGGAGGTCCTGTACCATACGGTATTGGTCGGGTTGGCCCTTAACAGTTCGCTTTTTAACAGGGAAGAGAGGGGTGTTGCATGGAGATGTACACTTGGTGAGGGCACCTTTTGCAAGCAGGGTCTCAACTTGCTTGGTGATGGCCTCAGCTTGTGCTGGCTTCAGAGGATACTGAGGTCTACGAGGGGGGAGTGCACCAGGCAGGAGCTGGACCAGGACTGGGGGTACATGTAAGCGTCCAATATCATCCGGGCCGGTGGACCAAAGTTCTTGGGGGATACGATCCAGGGCACTGGGGGTGTGTGTGACCCGTGCATTCCCTGTATTGTCAGTTAGATTCAACAAAATTGGGAGTGAGCAGAGTACAGAAGTATCTTTCTGCGATAAGGGGGTTGTCAACTCAACCTGTCCATCAGCAGTAAAGGTAATGGAAGCCTGGAGCCGAGAGAGAACATCGGCACCTAGGAGGTTAATGGGGCAGGTGGAGGAAACAACAAAACGGGACAGGATATGTGAGCCTACATGTAAGAGCTTGGTGAGGGGGTTACTGCGTGGTGTACCATCCACCCCAACACAGGAGACATCAGTGTCAGATAGGAAGGAAGGGTCTGGCAGGTCTTGTTCCCTAAGGACACTACGGGCTGCACCTGTGTCAACTAAAAAGGTGGTTGGGTGACCCTCCACGGGGAGAACTACAGTAGCTAAAGGTCCTCCTCCATCCCCCGCAGACACTGCCATGGCAGGGGTTGCTGACACAGGCTTGCCAGTTACCTATTGTAATAAATCTAGGTGGGCTTGATCCGGTCCCTGGTACCGGCGGGAGGTGGAGGGAGGGTTAGCAGTATGCATAGGTGGGCGGGATGGACGGAGGGCATGGCGGGGATGAGGTGGGTTGTCTTGGAGGTCATCAGTATCATACCCTTCAGCAGAGGGCGAGGTGTATGCACGGGCTTCTGCTGCGGGGAGCCGGGCTTGGGAATACTCAGGAGGCGGAGGGGGAGGAGGTGGAGGAGGTAACTGAGGCAACTGTGGATGGGGTAGGGTAGGGAGGTAACCGGTGGAGGGGAAACTGTAACTGGTGACATGTGGATTTTGGTACCGGGGAGTCTGCTGGCGGAACACTCTAGGGTGTGGGCAATCTCTTCTAAAGTGACCTGGCTGATTACAATTAAAGCAGGTCCGGATTGTCGTGACAGACCGATCACGGGAGAAAGGAATTGGTGCAGGCAGTGTCTGGGGGGGCTGGGTGTACTGTTGGGGAAACATCTGAGGACCCTGGCTTGGACCAGCGAATGGGGTGGAGGTAGCATACATCAGAGGACTGGGTCTACGTAGTGTAGGTAGCAAAACAGATTCTAAGCCCTTGGCAACTAGCAAAAGAGTGTCCAGTGGAATAATTCTATACTCAGGCCGAGCTAAGATTAACCCCTTACGGATGTGTTCTCTAAGCCCTGCCACAAAGGCTGCAGATAGCATCTGGGTGTGTGCTTTGTTGTAAGTACTAAACCCTAAGTCTGAAAAAGTCTGAGTCAACCTAGAGTGATACTTCTCAACTGTCTCAAGTTTGTCCTGTATAATGTCATTAATGCAAGTAGCCTGATCTGCTAGTTTATCCTGTGCCCAAGCTCGAAGCTGTTCACAAAAGACTTCACCAGAACGAAAGTCAGTATCAGAAGTAAGTGGAGCGTCATTAAAACTCCGTTCCATGATTGGCCAGTATGCATCACCGGCTTTGATTTCACATAGACTAATAAGATCCCGCCAAGCAGCGGAGTACGTTTTACGGATCTGAGCCATCCGGCGGAAAAAGGGCATAGGGTGTTTTTCAGGATCGGGGAGTGAGGTCACAAGGGTAGCAGCTTGGGAAGGGTTAAAGGTAACATACATAGGCGGTGCTCCATCCGCACCATGGTTGATCGGGATGTAACCTTGAGGGATAGTGTGCTGTTGGGGGAGCCTATTCACCCCCACCTGGGGCGAATTCTGGTCAACCGCAACAACCTCTTCGGGCAACACTGGGCCACGGCGGAGGGTAGCCTCAGGGGTAGCTGTAGCGGGGACAACAGGGAGGGCTGTGGTAGGTAAGGTAACTGGGTGGAAACCCGAAGCCTGGGGGGAGGCACCCATTGCATAGGGCTGGTCAGATGTCCCAGACACCTCGGATCCAACCACCATGATTGGGTAACTTGGACTGGCGGAAGGGACACGAGGGACCAAAGCCGGGGAAGGGGCTGTCACAGGGGCCGGGTGGGTTGGGCGTGAGAGGTGTGTATTTAGGACATGTGCAAGGGCGGAGATTGGATCGGAGGGCTCGGGGACTTCGGCAGGAGACAAGGGTGGGGTCGGTTCGGGGGGAGGAGGAGGAGGAGGAAGAGGAGGTACGTCAATGGGAGGTGGTACGGGGGTCGCGGAAGTAACTAGGGAAGTAACAGCAGTGAAGAGGGCGGATATTGAGCCGGACAGGTCATTGGTCATGTGTGTGTCAGGGGTCATGGGGGAAGGGGTCGGAGGGACGGGACCAAGGGCCTGTGTCAAGGTCGGGGGGGCAGGGATGTCGGGGGGTGGTAACAGGGGAAAAGAGGCCGGGGGGATGGCGACGGGAGGTTGGGTTAGGGTGGTGAGGGCGGAGATCAGGGACGGCAAATCGGCCGCGGGAGTAGGAGGCAACAAGGCAGAGGGGGCTGGGGCTTCAGGAGGAGGTAACGCTGGAGGAGGAGTTGGAGGGGTGACGGCAATGGGTTGGGTTAGGGCGGTGAGGGCGGAGATCAGGGACGGCAAATCGGCCGCGGGAGTAGGAGGCAACAAGGCAGAGGGGGCTGGGGTTTCAGGAGGAGGTAACGCCGGAGGAGGAGTAAGAGGGTCCTTGAGGATGGGAGGGGTAACTGTGGATAGGGGGCCGGAGGTAAAGGAACCGGGACTAACGGGCTGAACAAGATTCATGAGAGCGGAGAGTAGGGACGGGGGATCTTTGGAAGATGAGGAGGAGGAGGAGAGGAGATGAGAAGGGGTGGGGGACAATGGAGGTGCAGGGCTGGGGGTCACGGGTTTCCTGAGGATACCGGGGAGGGAGAGTCGACCGGGGGACAGGGGTCCGGGGAGACAGGGTCGGTTGGGTAGGTAGGAGCGGGGGGTGTAGGACGTAGGACGGACGGAGAGGGAGAAGGAGCGGGGACTACTAGGGAAGGGGTACTCAAAGTGGAGAGGGACTGGGAGGAGGAGGGGGATGGAACTTCCATGGTCGAGGCGGGAATAGTCGGGGCAGTGTTCGGGGTGAGGACTGGCGCTGGGAAAGGTAACGGAGGGCATGGAGGTGGGGGGGCTCCGATGGACATGGCGGGACGATGGTTGAAAGAGGGGGTCTGGTCACAGGGGGGTTGGGGCATGGGAGTGGGTGGGAACGAGTGATGTGGCACTGGGAAATAGTAAGCTCCGTCTACACCGAGTACAGGACATAAGGGAGTGGGGGCTGTAGGCACACCCCCGGGGGGTGGGGTCTGAGCTGTGACGGGAGAAGCAGGGCGGGAATTTACTGTTGCGCTCTGGGCGCCATCATAGGGTGGTGGCCGTGGAACAATGGAAACAACATCATCATTGTGAACACTCCTATGGTAAACATGCACAATTTGTCCTTCAAATTCCAACTCTTCCTCGACCCATCCTTCCCGTTTCAAACCTCTGGCTACACGATACCAAGCCTCTGCAACCTTTGTCAGTCCGTTATCCAACAATAAACCTTCCTTATCTATGAGTAGCTTTCTCCAAAACTCCGGTTGCAATCTCCCACTGGGTAACATCTGAAAGCCACACACCTTAGCAATCTTTTTAAGTTTCATCATAGCATCTTCCCCTGCCCTTTCTTTCACAATATCACAAGCCAATAAACCTTTAGCAGGTCTAGCATGTTCCTGCCCCATCTTGACCAAATAAAACGTGCCACTCGTTAATGACAGATGGATAGAGGAGGTATAAGAAAGGAGGGGAGAAGGAGTGTCTACAGTGCTCAACTGCCACGAGAACTTGAGCCCCGTGCGTCTTCCCCAAACGTAGACTAGTCACGGAGATCCGCCCACCCGGGGTGGTGGTCACGGACGGGAGCGAATGAGCGTGGGTGACTAACACAGCTCTGGGCAACAGGCACAGGAGAGATAAAGCACAAAAGAAAAGATGAACGTGGCTGCGCTAATGAGAAGACATTTGCAAAAATCACAAACATATAAATGAGCATAGACTCCGGAGTCCAGAACTAACCACACAATACACACGCACACACCAAGGGTACCCACGCTGTAACAACAATTAAACAAGAACCACAGGATGACAGAGAGTAAAATGGCCATGTACATGTTAATGACACCAGTGCTGAATAAACGAAGTATAGCAATCCTCAGCCTTCACCCACCAGGCTGGTCCCAGTATAACACAAGTATTAATGAGAGCACAGTAATAAACAAACAAAATCCCAGCCCCACCGGCTGTAATGCGTTCCCTGCCCGCTAGGCAGTCAAGCTAACATATAAAACCCAGCCCCACCGGCTGTAATGCGTTCCCTGCCCGCTAGGCAGTCAAGCTAACATATAAAACCCAGCCCCACCGGCTGTAATGCGTTCCCTGCCCGCTAGGCAGTCAAGCTAACTTAAAATCCCAGCCCCACCGGCTGTAATGCGTTCCCTGCCCGCCAGGCAGTCAAGCTAACTTAAAATCCCAGCCCCACCGGCTGTAAAATCCCAGCCCCACCGGCTGTAACGCGTTCCCTGCCCGCTAGGCAGTCAAGCTATCGTCTTTTAAAAAGGGGGAAAACACACACTCCGGCCGACACTCACATTCAAACAAATACAGGAGGCAGATAGACAATCGACAGGTTCACCTTAAAAGGCACACCGGATGAGCTAATTACCTGTCTCTAGTAGCCTTCTGGAAGCCGGAAGTGGATTCGGAGACAGACCGACACAAAACAGGAGAATAACACAGGCAACGGCTGTATTATGGAGGTGATCAGGCTCCGCTTGTCCCACTTTCCGGAGGTCCGCTCCGGTCCGTTGGTTCCGGCCCTCCGAACCGGCCCTCTGGTGGCCCCACGTTGGGCGCCAATTGAAATGGAAAAATCAATTAAAGTATTGATTATTTCTTTGTGTATCTGCCCCTGGCCAAATCAATGAAACAATGCGTGCACGCTCCCTGAAGTAATTCACACCAGACACAGATTTCAGGTTGATGAATAACTTGAGGAATGTTTATTCAGAGGGGACGGCAGGTCCCTTTTAAAGCAAAATTACATCATAAGCATTGTCAGAGATAACATGGAATAATACATCAATAATTGGTTAGGTGTTAAGTGGTTGCTTCAATGCTCTGCCTACTGTAGGTGATGTCACCGGGGCCATGAGGTTCTCCCACGGTTTCCCGGCGCCATCTTGGTGCACGAGGTAGTTAGTCGATGTTAGGAAGGAGAAAGGGAAGGGGGGGGGGGAAAGGAGCTAGAAGCTTCTAGCAGCCATCTTAATTATAACGTGTGTGCTTAGCTATATATATCTATATCGTGAAATGAGTAAATAGACATTTTTCACTAACTAGGAAATATGTGTAGACCTTATTTCCACAACATGGATTGACACCTGTCCTCAGAGATCATGATACACACTGACACAGAGCAGAATAGAGACTGTTCCTCCTACATAGGGTCACTTGGCAGATATGGATTGACACCTGTCCTCCGAGCCCCTGATACACACTGACACAGAGCAGAATAGAGACTGTTCCTCCTACATAGGGTCACTTGGCAGATATGGATTGACACCTGTCCTCAGGAGATCATGATTACGGCACTGACCCAGAGCAGAATAGAGACTGTTCCTCCTACATAGGGTCACTTTGGCAGATATGGATTGACACTCAACCTCAGAGCCCCTGATACACTGACACAGGGCAGAATAGAGACTGTTCCTCCCACATGGCAGATATGGATTGACACCTGTCCCTAGCCCATGATACACACTGACACAGAGCAGAATAGAGACTGTTCCTCCTACATAGGGTCACTTGGCAGATATGGATTGACACCTGTCCTAGGGATCCCTGATACACACTGACACAGAGCAGAATAGGGACTGTTCCTCCTACATAGGGTCACTTGGCAGATATGGATTGACTGTTCCCCCTACATACACACTATTGATCTCGCAAAACTTACCAAGGATCTAAATCATGTTCCCGTATCGTACATGAAAAACCTACTCATACAAAATCTCTTCCCAAACGTCATTTCGTTCAAAGTGGAGAGAATGTTAAAAAAATACATTTTTGTTCTGAGTGTGAGAAATGCTTTTCAGCCGCTTCTAATCTTAAGCATCATTTGAGAAGCCATACAGGAGAGAAACCTTATTTTTGTTCTGATTGTGGGAAATATTTCTCTCAAAGAGGCCACTTTTATATTCAATCTATAACAGTGAAAAAAGTTTTTGGGTTTTAAATGCAAGCCATTGTGACACCAGTGAGTGAGTGGTGGCACTGGGCACAGTATCCACTGTGAGCCTGACACACCCGCTGGCAGACAACTAAATGCTATTCAATCTATAACAGTGAAAAAAGTTTTTGGGTTTTAAATGCAAGCTATTGTGACACCAGTGAGTGAGTGGTGGCACTGGGCACAGTATCCACTGTGAGCCTGACACACCCACTTTGAGACAACTAACTGCTATTCAATCTATAACAATGAAAAAAGTTTTTTGTTTTTAAATGCAAGCTATTGTGACACCAGATATGAGTGGTGGCACTGACTGGGCAAATGGGCACAGTATCCACTGTGAGCCTGACACAGAAGCTGGCAGCAGTGGCAGACAACCAACTGCTATTCAATCTATAACAGTGAAAAAAGTTTTTTGTTTTTAAATGCAAGCTATTGTGACACCAGTGAGTGAGTGGTGGCACTGGGCACAGTATCCACTGCGAGCCTGACACACCCGCTTTGAGAAAACTAACTGCTATTCAATCTATAACAGTGAAAAAAGTTTTTTGTTTTTAAATGCAAGCTATTGTGACACCAGTGAGTGAGTGGTGGCACTGGGCACAGTATCCACTGTGAGCCTGACACACCCGCTTTGATACAACTAACTGCTATTCAATCTATAACAGTGAAAAAAGTTTTTGGGTTTTAAATGCAAGCTATTGTGACACCAGTGAGTGAGTGGTGGCACTGGGCACAGTATCCAATGTGAGCCTGACACACCCGCTTTGAAACAAATAACTGCTATTCAATCTATAACAGTGAAAAAAGTTTTGGGGTTTTAAATGCAAGCTATTGTGACACCAGTGAGTGAGTGGTGGCACTGGGCACAGTATTCACTGTGAGCCTGACACAGACGCTGGCAGACAACTAACTGCTATTCAATCTATAACAGTGAAAAAAGTTTTTTGTTTTTAAATGCAAGCTATTGTGACACCAGTGAGTGAGTGGTGGCACTAGGCACAGTATCCACTGTGAGCCTGACACACCCGCTT